ACATTTTGGCTTTTCTGATAATGTCGGGGTAACTTAAAACTTTAATAGAAACTCGAATGTTTATGGACTCGTTTAGTTATTTAGTTGAGTGGCAAGTGATTTAGTAGATAAACACTCTACTCGTCTATAGTACTAATGTAACCGATAGGTACTACATTTTAATGACTTTCCTCAACCCTTAGTTTATTAAGTTGATTGCATGATAAGATAGCTATTGTTACAATTATTATACCTATAAAAGGTATATAAAATATTAAAGTTTTTTGAGTAGGTGTCTGAATTAATTCTTTAATAATATTTTATACTTATACTTATTCAATACTTTAATAAATTAAGCCAAGGTGATTCCAATAAATAGATATGTTTTCACTATAATCTGAGGTTTTCGCATAATATGATGGCATAGATTTTATGATTACACTGAGGAATGACTACATGGGACAGATAAAGGAAACACTAGGCGTCATGTCGTATGGGAGGTCAAAGGCATAGAGCTGGCTAGAAGAAAATCGATGAATTAGTTGTAGCGACAAGAGGAAATGAAATCAAATCAAATTTATAAATAACCTAGATTTTTAATAAAACATTTTGAAACAACGTGAGTGTACGTAGCATTACGATATTTCAAAATGATAGAATCACAATCGAAAATTATATTAAATTCTTTTGCCGTAGACAGAGTAAAAATTTTTACTCTACTGCAGATGTCAGACGAATACTTATACATATATTTCATAGATTATTTACTTACTAATGTAATAGGTTTATAATCAAAACCCATTGTGTGCCTACTTGTGTACTGATTAGACGATGACTCACCAATTAAGAATGTTATAAATGATTGTATATAAAATTTATTCAATATGTAAGTTTATAGATCTGTTACATAACGCAACTGTACTCACTCTTTACCGGGGGCTTCTTGCGAATTACTCTCCCCATTTTCCACCACTTGTACCCCACCTTCACCGGGGTTTTCAACCACATTCACTGAATTTTGGTCCGTCATTTCAACAATAGTCACTTTGCCTTATACAAATCACACTGAAATTAAAAAAAAAATCACAAATTTGACATGTAATTAAAAAGAAACGAAATTCGAACGTACGTCGTTTCGTTCGAATTTCAATATAACTGTTATCGTTCCTTTTTTAAATGGATATTGTTTTAATTAGGTAATGCTATGACGGTGTTTACTTACAAGGATCTGTTGCTAAATGAACAAGTGTATCCCGTTATCAGATATTATACAGATTAATATTGTTATCATATCATTAATTGCTAGATTACTATAATATACGAATTTTTACCTTTTAAAGCAAGAGGCCAAAATGATTAGATACTTAAGCACTCAATATAATATTAATTCATTGCATGCATAATTAGAAAAATATTTAAATTTATGTAAATATATGTGTGGAAAATCTTCAGCAAGACCATCCCATCTGCCGGAGGGAGGGCAGCTGGGGTGTGTGGGATTCGTGCCCACTAAAAACCACACGACGTACCACGAGGCGCTTATGTTGGATCCCGGGTTCCCGTTTGTACGACTACCGAGGATGAACACATACTAGCGTACCTACCTACATACATACAAATAACAATCACGCCTGTATTACTTCCCGATTAATCGCTAATTGTCAAAACAATGGTATTACGTAGGTAGCGCAATTGCTTTATACTTTCCTATTGCTGACAATCGTGAAAAAAATAGAAGACAATAATAATCAGTATTATTCTTTGAAGGGAACAATAAAAAGATTTCAATCATTCATTCAAAGACATGCCACTTGTTTCCGCTGCATTTTTTTATGGATCAGAAAGGAATGGTGGCCCACCATTCCTTCCATCCATATCCATAAAAAAATGCCTGCGCTAACGGTATACGCTGGCGGTGATGAGGGATGATTCTCCTCGCCTCTCAAGATGAGAATGAAAAGACAGGTCAGTTTTTTTTGACGGGTGAAAATGATATGGTAACCCCGCCTGCGCTAACGGGATACGCTGGCGGAGCACCAGTGAAGAGTGATAGATGAGAATGAAAACAGGCCAGTTAGCCCATCGTGATGAATTCATCAGGAATTAACCATGACAGTTTCCAGGGGGAACCGCGAGGAGGTCGACCTGGTTGGGTATATTGCTAGCAATGGGATTTTCAGTCTCCATTACTAACAATCCCTTTCCCTTCCCTCCAGACAGGTCAGTTAGTCCATCGTGATGAATACACCTGAAATTCGGCACGATGGTGTCCTGGGGGGACCACAAGGAGGTCGCCCTGATAGAGTATATTGCTAGCAATGGGACTGGTAGTCCGCATTACTAATTATCCCTTCCCTCCGGTCTCCATTGTATCATGCCATCAATCATTAGTCAAATATTATCCTGTTCTCTCCATTTGAACTTTGAATGGTATCTACCCATGGACATATGGAAATGACGATATCCAATTGGTTATTTTTTTATACAACTTAGAATGGCAAACAAGCTGACGGCCCACCTGATGGAAAGTGGTAACCGTCGCCCATAGACATGAGCAGTACCATGGACATAACAGAGTACCTATATTGTTTCGCCCATGACATCCCCCATGCGTTGCCATACCTGAGAACTCAGGTGTTATTTCTCTGTACCCTGTAAATTCACGCCATATCCCACCGTTCCAATCGAAACACAGCCATGCAAACACAACTGCTTCACGGTAGAAACACGAATGGGACAGAGGTACCCAAGCAATCGACTTTTGTACAGATCCAATATATAATATCGAATAAAGTACCCGCTCGTAATGAATAGGTATAGATATCATAGGTATCATCAATGTTCAGAATAACTCGATATATAGATATCGGATATTACTCATCTCTAATAAGGAGTTCCTTTAATGGGCGATAATGGAATGATAACCCCGCTATCAGTTTATGCTGGCGGGTTACCAGCGAGGAATGATAGGTGAGGATGAAAGTAGGTCAGTAACCTATCGTGAACAATTCCACTAGAATTTATTTATTTTATTTTATTTATTTATTTTCTCCACATATTTTACAGAAAAATACAGTGACATGAAAAAAAAAAATACAAATATTTATGTATAATTACAATGGTCTGTAAAACTTGTGGGAGACTGCACCCTAAACTAGATCAGAGATCTGTATCTCAGGAATCCAGGAATCCAATTAACCACAATGTTTTCCAGAGGGGACCACGTGGAGTTCGACCAAATAGTTCGACCAAATTGCTAGCAACAACAACTAGCAACTAAGACTGTTACATTCCCATTGCTAATAATCCTTTTACCCCTGGATAAGAAGTATCATTGGTGTCATAGTTCATTCTGTGATGCTCATAGTTCATGTCAACAGGCGATGGTTGATACTTTCCTCTTTCTCATGTAGTCCACCTGTCGGTTTGTTTTCTATTTGAAATTCAATAAAGAATAAATATTATAGAATCTTTAACTTAAATTAAGAATAAAATTAGTAATAGCGACATCTGTAGGAAATTATCTGTAACAATAATTTCTTTAATTTACTTTGTCTACATACTACAACACATAACACTAAGTTTTACAAATACCAGATAGATAGCGCTTTTCTCTGGTAACACAAAGACTATTTTGGCAGTGTTGTATATTAGGGGGTAAGTAATATATCTATAAATTTTAGTTGCTATATCTTTATACTGTATACCAATAACGAATGTATTAAAATTTTCCTGTCCAAAAAATAATATTGAGTATGTAAAATATTCAAAAATAGATATCCGACCGATATGGGCGATATCGAAAAGGGTGATGACCTTTCTCTGCCATCAATGTCCAGAGGAATCCAATATATAGGTATCGGGTTGGTATACCCATACCTACTATGTACTGGCATCCCAACTGATATTTAACATTCTTTAAAGGTTATTTATTACTTGCAAACTCTCCATGTTAGTTAACAAAAAAAAAAAGAAAAAATGGGAGTTCATGAGATGTAAATAGGGATCTACGCTAATGCATTAAGCATTGTGACCGTATTATTTTTATTTTTCACTAGCTTTTTGTCCGCTGCTTTGTATGCGTGGATTTTAGAAATATAAAAACTAATTAAATTGGCCACTTCTAGAAGACGTATCAAGCCAAAACATACGCCACTTTTTGAGTTAGATTTTTAGGAATACAATTGTGGAAACCGCATCTAATTTGGTGGTAGTTTCTCGTGATACCAGGACAAACATACTGACCGACCCCATATGATATAAATTTTTCTTAAGTATACAGAAAATATCTTTGTATATATATACTCGTATACGCATATATCTATTAACCTATATAAGTTTTTTCAATGTTCACTATTTAGTAATTATAATCGAGAAAATAAAAAAAAACTAATTAAGAAAATTCTCCTTTTTTGAAGCCGGTTATAATATTGGTACTAAATCATAAAACATATAAGCCTACCACCACCACCACCACGTTCGGTGAACAGCTTGGTATATCATTTTATTTTGAGACTTCTTATTAATAACCACACAATATAGATCATGATCTTCACCACATCATCATCAGCGTATCAACCGTCAACTGTCCACTGCAGAACATAGGTTTTACAAATAGTTGCCACGCTTGGCAAGCGGATTAGCAACTGAACTTTGGCATTTGGTGATGTTTTAAGCAGGACGCTGTTGCCCATCCCTCCCATCCTACATAATATCACTACATAGTCTAAAACAAAGTCGCTGTCTGTCCGTCCCTATGCATGCTCAAATCTTTAAAACTACGCAACGGATTTTGATGCAGTTTTTTTTTAATAGATAGATTGATTCAAGAGGAAGGTGTATATGTGTAACACATGCATAATATAGGACCGTGCTTTTCAGCGTGACAATTTTTTCGAAATTGATTGCTCGTATTTTATCGGTATTAGGGTTAATTTTTAACAGGCTGTGTAGTATATTTAGTATCCGAATTGCACCCGTGCGAAGCCGGGGCGGGCCGCTAGTGGTATAATAAAACAATATAACTTTTATTTTTATTTACTAAACATACATTACTCATTGAAATTATTTTGCAAATTAATAAAATACAAGATTACCTATGGCAATATTTGATTGATTTAAGACACAATAAATGGACGGATTCAGAATTTATACATTTGCATGTAACTTATATTAAACTTACATAACTACTTATTCTAATCTCATGAATCGTAATCATGTAATACTGAAAATAAACCTAGTTTACAGTTTAAAAAACTATTGGGTACAATATTTTTTATACCATTGAGGTGGCAATGTTTTATCGTAATAAATGATTTTACACTTTCGCGTTGTTTACTCATATTTTAAATACACTATCAGGATTTATAGGGATGGAATTTTTTTTGTATGTAGTACCTAAATACCTGCTTCTGGGGGGAAAGGGATTGTTAGTAATGGAGACTGAGAATCCCATTGCTAGCAATATACCCAACCAGGTCGACCTTCTCGCGGTTCTCCCTGAAAACTATCATGGTTAATTCCTGATGAATTCATCATGCTGGGCTAACTGGCCTGTTTTCATTCTCATCTATCACCCTTCACTGGCGCTCCGCCAGCGTATCCCGCTAGCGCAGGCGGGGTTACCATACCATTTTCACCCATAAAAAAAAATACCTACTTCTTTATTACTTCTGTCGTGACCACGACGTCATGCAAACCACGTCGAAACATCGGCATCGGCAAGAAGCAAGTATGTAGGAAATATTTACCCGCAAACAATTTTTGTATGGCATTAAGTCCCGATAGTGCAGCCTTTTCCAATGTGGGCGATAACGTCCCCTTAGGCGCTGCAGACCTAAAGAGGAGCGGTAAGAGACCCAGAAAAAAAATGGGGGCGTTGTGTAGAGGCTTGGGGGGTGATTTGTTAATCTTGAAGTAATAGTGGTTTTAAAGTAGGTGAAAAAATGGGGGCGCTAAAAAATTATTTATTCTCAAAGTATAAGTTTGGGAACCCCTGCGATAGTGTATTTAAAATTTGAGTTATAATATTAAAGTTTATTTTATTTATGGAAATGTAATACCTTAATTTGAGCTTAATTACGTTTAGATAGAGTTTATATAAAAAAGTACAATTTATATCAGTGGATTTACATTATTAACATAGCCCACATGCAGTGGCGTTACTACATCATCTGAGGCTCGTAGTACTTATTGGGTGGGGCCCTTCATTTATCTAAAAGGCTCGGCGTTGTAGTATAAATTTTATATAATATATCAATAAGTGGATATGCATATTTACCGACACTATTATAATTAATGTGTCGATTTTTAGTTCTACTTGAAAATTATACCATGTCGATAATTTATTTAAATAATTCGTGTATGTTCTTAATTTAATAATCCTTAAATTGATTAAAACTTTTTTTTTTACAAAATTATGCAATAAACGTTAGATTTTTCTTGTGCTCACGGCCTCTGGAACCAGGGACAGGGTGGGGGGGGGGGGTGCCATTATGTCCACTCTGCGCCATTATGATTACATATATTGTTACGCCACTGACCACATGCATGTAATATATAGAAATACCGATATATTATAGTTATTACTGGCAGCACTAAAAAAAGGTGCAATTTTTTTTTTATTAAAAAAAAAATTATCAGCCAAGCTCTTATATGCCTTGTTCACTTGACCAAGGCATACAGGAGTGTCAGTATAGCAGTGCTGGTAGTGCTCGCCGGTGTTTTGTCTGCTGACTTGGAGGTAATCCGTGCTGGCAGGATAGACGTAGAGCGTCAGTTCGTGCCATAACAGAAGTTCAGCAGACGTGAACGAGAAATTAGGAACGAGATCATTTTGGCGTGGCAAGAGCGCTGGACCTCATCCGCAGACGGGCGAGAGCTCCATCGATTCTTTTCGGACGTGGCTTTGGGGTCTTCCAGATTCTGACTGAACATGGCTGCTTTTGGAAGCGTTTATATGCCATAGCTTAACAAGACGAGTACCAGCGAATGAGGAGATCGATCGGAGATAGCGTTCGAGCTACGAGAGTTCGTTCATCAGTGGCACAGGAGTCGGAGCATGTCACAGAAGACTGGAAGAAAAGCTGCTGCAGCAATAAGCAAGCTGGAAGATGGTGTGCTGTCTGGCACCGAAGTTATCACTATGTCGTACGTTACCCCCGATGGGGGAGAAAGCGTCATTGAGGAACAGGAGTAGAGAAAATATTGTACTATAAATATAAATATAGTTGTCAGGAGAGCTTGGACGGTTGTGTTTATCCCCCGCGATTCGGCCAGTATAACTGCGAGGTATGGTTATGGATAGTGGACGGTTGTCTGCCTTAGCGTAAAATATTACGACTGTCCAGCCATGCTATAGACAGTCCATAGGCTACAGAATAAAAAATAAACTAAGATGGCGCCTTGGTAGTTTCGTCAGTTGATTTCGTAGTGACCCTTTCGTCTTCTCTTTGAAAGAGGTAGCTGGTGCTGGGTGTTGTACTACTGGTTTGCCCGTAACCAGTTGCTATATTACTAGATTGATATGTATTTTGTCCATAATTCGTTGGTTGTCTATTGTTACTCTGTCCATAGCCAGTGCTCTGGGTATCGCGAGATGGTTGATTGTAGGTGTTGCGGTCATCGAGATGCGCCACGCCACTGAAATCAATATTTTTTTTTTAATAAATTTTATTTGTGTGTTTTTATGTATTATAAGAAATACCAATCTAGCAAATGACCTAGATATAATGGAAAGTGATAACAGTCAATGAATTTAACTTCTTACTCTTCTCTTGTTCACAAATATAGAGCTAATTTAGTGTAATGAAGAAAAATACACTTTCTCTTTAAATATAAATGTGAAATACAGTTTTTAAGTGATGCTGTAAGCGCATTGTTTTTATACGAAGTGATCCATTTGGCAATTTATTTTTAATGCTTATAATTAACAGATTAATAAGGTCTGATTTAGCAAAAGAAAAAGTAGATTTTAAAGAGTATATTTAATTAGGAAATGGAGAATCTAAAAAACAAATAAACATCTAAGCGATAATCATGGGTAATTTGAAGAGGGGCCCGGTGGGCTATGTCCATCCCAGATTTGTTTGGTACCCATCCCAGAATCCGAGCAAAGCTTTTAGCTACGCACGAAGACATGTTTGAAGCTCACCTTTGATCTCTATAAGGTCTCCTCTCGCCGACATTCTGCCAGCCACTGGCCTGTCCGTAGCCCGTGTTGAAGTCCTGCCGGTAACCGCCGTCCTGTCCGTAACCAATCGACCCGCGGTACTCTAACGGATCGCGGTATCCGCCACCGCCGTAACCCACATTCTGCCAACCGCTTTCTTGTGGTCTAGAAATAGATTGCAGTAAATAATTAAATACACCTGCAATCATAGCCAGGTAGTGAGGAAAATTGTTAGTAATAGGATCTAACGCGGTCTTAACACCCACGCGGTTTCCACTGGAAACTATCGTGATTAATTTTTTTGGAACATCATGATGTATTAAACTGAACTGCTTTCATTCTTATCTATAATACCATCCACTCATTCATCGTTGACTCATCAGTGTAGTATATAGAGCATGTAAAGTCACCATTTTATTTCCAACCATAAAAAAAAAACTTTTAAGTCTATACTCAAATATAAATCAAATCCCCATAAGCTACGTTTTAGAAGCGTTCATGCCGAACCTAACTATTAATTCCTACAATGCCACTCTTTGCTAAGCATTGGTGAAGTATGAACGAGCTTCGGAGTGAACGCTCTTAATATACCTAAATCAATCCACAACTTTACCTAGTATATCCTGGTCGGTCCCAGGCCGGCGCGGGGGCGGCGTCAGGGCGGCCTGACGCGAAATAGTAACCCCTGCCGCCGGCGTCCCATCCTGCCTGTCCACGATACGTCTCGTCCCAAGGCCTGAAACTGACAGTTCCCATTCGTTCATTGGCATTTACAGATCTTATCTTAGTAGTCGTGTAGTCCCGGCATAAATTGAAGGAGTACTTCCTTTCCCATGAGTGTCGTAAGAGGCGATCGAGGCAACTAAATGGTAGAAGGATGGGCAGCAGCGTCCCTGTTAAAACATCACCAAAGCCTAACTGCGGTTGACAATTCGCCTGCCATGCATGCCCCCGAAGTTTCATAACCCCTCTTATAGGAGAGACTTATTGTCTATAGTCCTCATGAAAATACATGAGGGATCATAGTTATCATAATATATTCTGTAATGCCCATGATGCGAGGAATTTAACGTACGACTATTTAACATCATGATACGACTTCGGGTGAAACTACATCTTACAGTTAAAAGCGACGAAGGTTATAACATTTTATTAGATGAGCCATTATCTTCGTTTGCCATTTCAAATTAAGCTATAAAACTAGATATCGTACCTATTATCCTTAATCTATGGTACTTGCATATTGTAGAATTAAGTTCCTAAAAATTAAAAAAAAAGTTTAATCGTAATTTTAATTTTTATTAATGTCGTCAATCGAAATTAGAACAACTAAAAACGTTATCTTCGGTTCTATGACCTTTATTTGAATTTCGAACACCCAGGAAGCAAGGTCAGTGCCCGCATTTTGCCTAGGGGTACTCAACCGGTGGTCAGCCAACGGGAAAACAAGATGGCGGAAAAAATAAATACCGGTTCGCGAATTAATCTAAACAATTCCAAAGGTGTTTTAAGTAGCGGTATCTTTGTACTCATAATGTGTCTAAACGTGTCAAGATTGCATTGCAAATTGGATAATTGTATAGAATTATTGTTAGTATTTTGTTGGATAATCATCTAAGTATGTACCTATATTGTTCAATGCCGATTGTTACGTTGATGTTTATTGTATTTAATGTGATATGTTTATTTTATAGGAACATTTTAACAAGAAGTTATTGAATATAGACCCCAATCATTTATTCCATTTTACGTAGAAATATCTAATTTTAGTATCGACATAAATAATTTAACAGTTTTCGATGTTTCCGGCGTAAATCAAAATACTTCAAAGTACTTATATGTACTAATAATATTAAAGCTGTATCAATGACGTTAAAACTATTTTAAAAGGTTTTAGTTAAAATATTAATGAGAAGTTAATTTTAAACGGATGTCATGAATATTTTATATTAAATTACTAGTAGAAAACGAGATCGATTGTTTCATATGCTGTTAATAATTTTAGCTTAATATTTAATTATTATACATATTAATAATACACTACTGTATGTACAATTAAAACGTTGAGTGCCAAAAATATCACAGAAAATGCGTAATATTTTTAATAAAAAAAAATTGGCGCACTTTTTAGTGTTATAGACACCAAGCCTTTGTGTAATCTAAGATATGAATTCACTCACACATAAATTAAGGATAATACCTGCGCGCTTATATAAGAATAAAAAAGTTATCTAAGGATCATAGACACTATTTTTAATCTATGCTACGGCGGGAAACGTAAAATTTGGCGGTCGAGTTTTTCTGCTTTAATATTATTTTTTTATTACAATATCGATCAGTTTGTTTTTGGCGGATGCACTTTGTACCATGCCATAAGAAAGAAAAAAAAATCTATGCTACTCAAAAAGAAAGCTTTTTTATATTCTTACTTTAGACAAACCCTAGTGATTACTTGCTCTGTGTACTTATTTTTATATGTATTTATTTCTAATAGTTTAACAACGTGTCAACTTAGTTTCAAATACAAAAAAAATATGTAAAAAAATGATAAATCTTTACAAGTGTTACCTTTTATTATTTTAACAATGGCGTCGAGGTGCGATGCAATAATGGCGCGAAAATAATTGACCATCTCCGATGACCGTTACGTTGATCTAATTTACAATAGTTATACCATTATCTGAGTATTGAGCACGTGTGATACACAATTTTAGGTGAAAGCGTATGTTCATTGATGTTCGACACTATGTATATAATTGTAACGGTAGGTATTGTCAATTTTACGGGCATTGAACTTTGCAAATTACCAGTGTTAGGTATAGAAACGTGCAAACAAAGTCAAAATAATAGGTACGCTTTCATTTAATAGTATATTTAAACGAACTTGAGGAGTTTGTGGTAAAAAAAAAAACAGCAAAAGAAATGGAGAGAATTTAATGGTCTCAAACATCCTAAAAAAATCTTTAATAACAAAGATAGGATAAACTCATCTACAGTAGAGACAGACAACAGGCAAGACGCCTAATGGGTGTCTTAACTGAACACATGCCAGTAAGGTATACATTATACAAGATGGGCAGATTGTACTGTTAAGAATCGGAATCTATGAAACACCTGATGTTCAACTGTTATTTGTTGGCAAGTATACGTAGGTATTAGTCTATTGGGATCAACTTATCCGGAACAAGAAGTCTATAGATATCTTAAACCACGAAATATCGTAAAAGTAATGCTTAGGACCTATAAAATGATAGTATAAGGCTGGGAAAAGTACAAAAATTCGATGGGTTAACATGCAACACTTCTGCTGACCCTAAAAGCAAATATATAAGATATATCCAACACTATAATACCTTACTTCATTAAATTTCAATGACGTCATTTGCCTACTATAAGTCCAGCCTTGGACCACTTGATAAGTCGCCTATGTATAGAACCATAGAAGTCACAGAATATACCTGCGGCGCGTGGTGCCATTAAACTATACTTACCTACGTGCCTTTTACTAATACTTTATCTATAAGTACAATTTCATTATTAATTGACGCGAAATTAAAAGATAAAGAAATTTCACTCACCTATCGTGAGGTCCTCGACCAACGCCTGGGCCGTACCCTCCGTAACCATCATCGTATGCTCTATCGTACCCTTCGTAAACTGGCCTTCTATAACTAGGGTAAGCGATTCCATCGTATCTGTTTGCATACCCATCATATCTACCGAGATAACCGTCATAATCTCTGTCGTAAATTGGTCTTCTTTCCCTGTATGGATCGTCATAGTATGGTCTCTCTCTTGAAGGATCCCTCAAAAACCTATCGTAGTAATCAGGCCTGTATCTATCCCTGTCGTCATATCTATTTCTATCTCTGTGTCTATCGCCTCTCTTGCTCCCACTCGGTCTGCTGTCTTTATCATCGTAAGGCCTCTTCTTGTCCGAGTCGTTGTCATCATCAGTTCCGTTTTTATTTCCGTTGTTCCTATCGGAGTTGTATCTTCTGTCGTCATCATCATTCTTATTCCTGTCGTCATATCGGTTACCGTACGTCGGTCTGTGGTTGACGCGACGATCGTCGTCGTACCTGTCTCGTCGTCGGTCGTTGTCGTCATCTCTGTCGTCGTATCTATCGTCACAACGACCGCAGCGCGGTCTGTCGTATTCTAATCTACCATATTCGTAATATCTGTCGTAAGGTCGCGGATCATAAAGACGACCGAGATCGTACGGTCGGCCTACGCCATATCGGGGGTCGTAGTAGCTGCGGCTTTGACGGCTCAGAAGCTTCTCATCGGGTGTTAGGACAGCTGAGAGTACAGTATCTGCAGCATTAATCGATGATTGAAAGTTCAGAAACGCCAGAAGGACCTGAAACAAGAGAAGCTTATTGAGTAAAGTCGATTAAGGCCACTCGTACTATTATAGGGTCTAGTCGACTCTTAACTTAGCTACGATTGTCCATTTTCATTGAAAATATGGTATCACCATATTATTATAATATCAGCGGTAAACTATCTATTTACTAGAGGAAGACTTTGTACAGAAGTCGTTTGCTTGGGTACCTCTGTCCTATTCGTGTTTCAACCGTGAAGTAGTTGTGTCTGCATGGCTGTGTTTCGGTTTGAAGGGTGGGCGTGGATATGGCGTGAATTTACAGGGTACAGAGAAATATCACCTGAGTCCTCAGGAATGGCAACGCATGGGGGGTACTATGGGCGAAACAGTATATTCTGTTATGTCCATAGTACTGCTCATGTCTATAGGCGACGGTTACCACTTTCTATAAGGAGGGCCGTACGCTTGTTTGCCATTCTAAGTCGCATAAAAACAAAATCTACATTACATCAAAACATTGTTAGATTGACTTAAATATAAAATCCAAGGTATTAATAATACAATAAATACTACTACATATCATATACGCAAAAATTTAAGCCATGTCACTAACAGTAATAAGTGCGATGAGTAATTTTAAAAGACTTAAAAAATTTGCTCCATCTATAGATTCAATGCCTACGTTGAGGTTGCATGTTTCTCTCAGTCCTTCTGAAATTATTGTTCGTTAATATTTTTTAATTGTGCTTATATGTGCATTTTTCTCACATAAATGTCACCGTTACTTAATGTGTGAATTCCTCACTATTATATATTCAAAGTAATATTTTGGCACGCTCACTATTGACGTGAAATATTATAGACTGTATCAGGCAGCATGGTCTCCGACCTTAGCCTGTTCCACAACGGAACAAACGTACTAAAAAAAAAAAATTATATACTGTATCGTGTGAATTTTTTTTATTTTTATTTTTTCTCATATACTGATTCTGTACGCAAAAGACGAAATATTTATCGTTGGTGGTTTGTAGCAGTTTTAAAAATCCTAATTAATTTGACACAATTTCTTATGAAAATAAACATTGATTTTTTTATATTTCTTAATTATTTCTCATGATGCATCAACAGTAAAATTCGAAAATGAAGTCTTGCATATTAGAAATTAAAATACACTGTAAGAACAGTTGTAAGACCTACGCAAGGCGCACAAAATATTCAACAGCTTAGTTCATTCTTTTTTTTTTCATACCACTGAGGTGACAAATAAGCATACGGCCCACCTGATGGTAAGTGGTTACCGTAGCCTATGAACACCTGCAATACCAGAGGTATAACGCGTGCGTTGCCGACCCTGAAGAAACCTCTTTACCCCCCTTTTGAAGATTGATTCATTGATATTCATATTATTACAATATGAAAATTAATGAAATATATATTAAACACACTTGTAAATTTTTTGTATTGCCTTTACATTACCGGTTGTTATCGCTTGAGGAATTTACATTTGTTGTCCAATTAATACAAATGTACTTAATTCACTACGTAACATTTATAAAAAGATATGAACAGATTAAGTAATTAACAATGTAAACGAGTTTTACGCGCGTTTAATTACATTTTTTGCATATTAAAATTAATAACTTTATGTTTAGAATGCTGCAGTTTCCGTGATCGTGGACTTACTAATATTTATGTTGGAATATTGAATGTTGTCTTACAATCTATGTCTATAATACACTACTGTGTTAAAAGTAAATAGACAGGTTAGTTTAAAAAAAAAATTATTACAAAGAATCTAATTACATAATTAAAAAACTAATACATGAAAATTAATAGTGTGTTGAACCTCCTTTTTTTTTCAAATAGAGTTTTTATTCTAACCGGCATGTATCAATCAAATGATCGATCTGATCTTGTCTTAAATTACTCCATTCCTCAATTGATAATGTGATAATTTGAACAAGACTCGGCACTTAATGAAAAGTCTTTCCATTAAAAAATAACATATCTCAATTAATTTATTTTATATATATACTAGCTAACCCCGTAAACGTTGTTTTACCACTTATTGCGAAATATAAAAATCGCGATTAAAAAATACAGGGGTTGATCGTAAAACGATGAAAATTTAAAGTTGTATGTATTATAATAAAATAATAATAAAAAAAATTGTCAAAAAAATAAAAGAATATATTTTGGGGTGGGTCACCCTTATCATTGACGGGTATGAAAAATAGATGTTGGCCGATTCTCAGACCTACCCAACATGCACACAAAATTTCATGAAAATCGGTAAAGCCGTTTCGGAGGAGTTTGGTAATAAACACCGTGACACGAGAATTTTATATAGTATAAGATTTTAACTTTAATGCATAATTATATAAGTAAGTGTACATATGGCGGACCTAACACCTAATGGCGTTCTCTATCATTCAACCATGACTCAAGCAGAAAATTAAGTAGGCGGTGCCTTCATGTAAGTCTTAAATGACCGTTGTTGACTTGTTGTTAAATTGACTTAAGACATAAGACGTGAACAGAACCATAGACATTACAGAATATATTTTGACACCGTTGGTACACCATAGTGCAATGTCTCCGTACCCAGTAATTTCACTGCCTTATCCCACCTGAAGTGCAGGGTAAGACCACACCTGATTTATCATGGTTTTCTATTGTTCCACTTACATGAATGAACCGAGGTGCTGATGGTAATTTATGGGGCATTGTGAAGTTCACAATCACAACATCAGCAGTGGGTAAGCAGGTCAAGGACATCTTCGATGGTAGTATATTGAACAACTTTTAGCATTATATGGTTCATTTTTTTTATTTTTTTTTATAGAGGTTAGTCAAAGAGATCACACCCCACTTGATGAGGGGGGAAAGGGATTGTTAGTAATGGAGACTGAGAATCTCATTACTAGCAATATACCCAATCAGGTCGACCTTCTCGCGGTTCCCCCTGAAAACTATCATGGTTAATTCCTGATGAATCCATCATGATGGGCTAACTGGTCTGTTTTCATTCTCATCTATCACCCTTCACTGGTGCTCCGCCAGTGTATCCCGTTAGCGCAGGCGGGGCTACCATACCATTTTCACCCATCAAAAAAAACCCCACTTGATGATAAGCAGGTAATGTGGTCTAAACTTGAGGGTTACTATCATAGCAATTTACACGTATATTTTGTTGGCTATCGTCATTTTAATGGCCTACAAATGCATCTTTTCACACTGCTTAAATGCATTAATTATTTTTTTTAATGGGTGAAAATGAAATGTAAACCCTCCCTGTACTATCGGTATATATTGGCTGGGCACCAGTAATGTAAAAAGACATATATCAAAAAGAATATGAAAAAAAAAATAGAAAAATACAAACATATAAAATTAAGATATAAGTTCATAATTATTTAAAAGTAAAAAGTATAAAGCTGTATGTACAAGAGCGCAGACAGGCAGACAAATTGCAAAGCAGTTTCGCGGCACTAAGATATTGCCCACTATATATTGTCTATGTAACTGTTTACTTGAAATAAGTAAAGAAAAAAAATATGTATAAAAAAAATATAAAAAGGTCGGTTGGCCAAGCTGCTAGCAAAACTAATAATTTCAATTTATACACAAAAGTCGTTTGTATGGATATCTCTGTTCCAGTCATGTTTCAGCCCATAACAAACAGGTAGGTAAATAGTTCGACGTTTGTGCTTGTATTTGCATGGCTGTTTCCATTGGAAAGTATGGAAAAACAACACTTTAATATTATGTAAAGACAATGCGATAAAGTTTAGTGTAAGATGTCGTTCAACTGTCACGTGACCGCTGACTGACTGGTTTGTAGCGTTCATAATATGAATTAGCAAGGCAGTTCAATTTACGCTGTAATCTGCCTGGAAATAAGAGTTCATAATACGGCCCCTGTTCTATCTATGATTGTTTATTAAGTACTGTAGACGTAAGGTGAATCGTCAATTTATTTGGCAATCCAAGGTGCAAACCTTGAAATGTAAACAAAATTTAATGTGTATAATTTAATAAAATATACTCTTCCTCTAATACAATTTATGTCTTATAAATAACGCTATAATTTATGCCGCAATTATTACATACTTGTTCTTTTATATACTTGTAAACAAAAACAATAGTGACATACTGATCTTGGCGGTACTTACAAGATCAAGTACACATAATTGGGGTGCCCCATAAAATAGTTACCTTCCTGCAGTAATACCATAATACAGCAGCAATTAGACCGCTGTAGCCTTCGCATCAGTCGAAATTTGCTCTTCGTTCTATTCTAGTGGCTGTGACATCACGCTATTGTTTTCGGAGGTCGTGATAGCATTAGTTTTTGGACTCGTATGCATATGTGATATGTTAATTCAATGGCGATTTCATTGTTCATATTCTCATTAACGTACGACATGGAAAAAATCAGGAAATGTATATGCTTATAGGATTTTTCATACGCTTCCGTCCTGCGACCTTACGTTTGTTTCAGTTGGCCGTATCTTGATGTGTATAGTTCATGAAGAGTATGCCAAATTAAATTGTATAGGTTATATGTATCCAAATCTGTCAAGTTGTGTTCCTATTTCTTACTAAGACTACAGCATGGAATTCTTAAAAAAAAGAGTGAAAAGTTTTTTACAAAAGTTGACTACGCGTGTAATGATCCTGGCATTGCAGGCGTTTATAAGCTACGGTAACCACTTATCATTAGGTGGGCCGTATTCTTGTTTGCAGCTTCAATGGTATAAAAAATGCTTACTAGCATAAATTTCTCCCCATGAGACCAGAATATATCGTTTTCTTCTTCTATTCGCTACTCAGAATGCACAAACAAGTTAACGGCCCACCTGACGGGCAGTGTTTACCGGCACCTATGAGGAGGGAAGGGATTGTCAGTAATGGGGATTAGTAGCCCCACTGGTAGCAATATACCCTAGCAGGTTGATCTCCTTGCGGTCCTGGAAACCATCGTGTTTAATTCCTAGTGAAATCATCACGATGGACTACTTTATGATGGATTACTGATCTGCCATTTAATTCCTACTTATCATCCTTTACTAGAGCCTCGTCAGTGTATTCCGATAGCGCAGGTAACCCCCCCGGGGTTACCGTCCTATTTCAATTCATTAAAAAAATATCATGGTGACCACAGAATATTATGAGATGCCTCTTATCTCTAAAAAAAAAAGTTGGTAGGGACAAATAGGACTGGCCTATGTTGCTATTTTTGTGGTTTAAGATTTCATACCTACATATTATCGATATCAAGAATACCATATATCATTACATTCTATTCTTTTTCCGTCACTAAACAGAAAATGAATCATACTACGAATATATTATTAATTTAATTAAACTATTATGAGCATTCTCAACTTTAGCTTACCGAAGTGTGGCGACAACGTAGTTATCTGTCAATATTCAGAAATAATTGAAACTTTTGTCAATGTTTATGACTGACTTATTAAAAAAAAAAAAGCTTTAGGTACAAGCGAACTAACAGTAATTAAAGAATATATTGCATTTAAATCTACCATTAAAACTTTTCACCTACTTCATATTTTGCTTCGGAATTATTCAAATACATTTTTTCCATCAAAATTAAAATTTTCAGTAACAACTTAATAAAAATATCATTGCGTGATTAACATTCTAGTTCGCGAACAACTTTTTAAATTATCAATCATAAACATTTTTTTTTAGTACGTTTGTTCCGTGTTGGAACAGGCTAAGGTCGGAGACCATGCTGCCTAGTCTTCAATCATAAACATTGAATAAGTTCAATTGTTTTTTAAAAATTGACAGATAAATGCAACGTTGCCACACTTCGGTAATCTAAAGGTAAGAAACTCTTAATTTTTTTTATTATTCTTTATAATGATCGGTAGGTGATAGTAATAATAATATTTCTACTATGTCTATATATTGTTACCCTATATTGCGCGATATTATAAATACTCTGTATATTAGAGTAAAAAAATATTAATGAGACTTATCAGTTTCAAATAAATTTTGATTCGAAGGTAAAAAAAAGCTCAGAGAACAATATTACAGATGGTATAGGTTTTATACGGGAACGGTATGCTGTCGAATAGTATTATATTATCTGTGCTTTCCATATATAACATCATGGCATATACACTAGAGAAAAAAATTAAGGGATCAAAAAAATGCCAAATTTCTTGAGGTTTTTCAAGTAGCTGCATTAAAAAGTAGCTGCTACTAAATTTTTGGAGCCTTTAAAAAAATACAAAATTTTCATCATCAAAAAATTTTTTTTTTAAAAAACCATAGCTTATTTTTGTCGGAAATTTATTCAAGGTTTCGACCCTCCTTAATTTCCTTGTGTGATCAGCGGTTGCTGAGATATTGACGAGTAAAGACAAAAAGATCCTTTTCCATTCAAAGTTCGATATCTTAGCAAGAAGTGGTCGTAACGAACTATGCAAAAAAGCAAATTAAAGCCGAATGAACAAGGTATCCGATCCATATATTTTAAGTTGGAAATTTTTTTGATATTCATCAGAACACGTTGCTTAAAAAATTTTTTCATCGAAGATTTAAATTCCGGTACGACCATTTTTAAGGGAAATACAGCAACTTGAAAAACCTCAAAAAATTTGGCATTTTTTTTTTTGATCCCTTAATATTTTCCTCTAGGGTAGTTGTTTTTTTTTTTTGTCATTTCCTTATAATGGAGGTACTCGTCTGTATCTATGTAATATCCTAAAGAGGTCTACGACGTTGTAAATATTCTATCAAAAGATTTTTTGGGCGTTATCATCCATATTTTTTAGTGAATTAAAATTATTATTCTAATAACGAATGAATAGTACGTCCAGGTGAAATCGCATGCAAGCGTTAGTCTATTAATAGTTTACGTAGTTTAGCTACGAATGTAAATCCACATTACATGTTTATATTTGTATTGTCTATGTTAACTAATATGTATACATCCGTTACTCATAATCGTTTTATAATTGCGCAGCCATAGACAATACACGAAAGATTATAGGAATACTGTTACTTATATATTTTATTAATCTATTACAGTTATATATAGTTTAACTTACTATAGTTTAACGTATTATTTTATATTTAGTATAACAAAAAAAAAAAAAAAAAACAGATCACAATCTTTACAAAATTGGCATGGGATGAATTTTTCCTATAATATTCACGTATGCATTTATAACCTATAATTATTTCAGATTATTCATTCTACAAACTTCAGAGATAAAAAGAAAAGGGGATATCTTTTTTCTCACATTTTCGATTATGAGTCAAAAAGTATACAGCATAAAAGTAAATTAAAATTAACCATCGCTATGTCATATGGCATTCATATAATACATATACAGCGAACGACATAAAAGGAACGTCCTTCCCTGCGTTTTAGTTTAACCCATTAATTTGATACGTACGTTCGGTTCATAAATATTAAAATTGCCAAAACATTACCCAAATTTCTCCAACCCCATTCAAAGAATTTTGTTTCTCCAAAGTTTCGCGAACAGAATTTATTTTTCTCATAATTACGAAAAATATGCCCAATCTGGCAACACTGGTGCCATAAGTACAAGTTTCATTTACCCATTAGTTTTCATTATTTTTCGTAATTAAATTTGAGTTAGCATTTAAATGAGAAAGAACAAAACTTATGACTTTACTATCTTCTTTCATCTAATGCATGCGGTAGCGATAATGAACCTATCGATAGATTCTTTGTCGCTTGTTTTGAACACGTCTCTTTTAGAGAAGAAAAAGAGACTCAACTACTAAAAATCACTATTTTTACTTGATTCATACACACATTAGCTTTTTTAACATTGATAACTCGTCTCGTGCTTACACGCCGGTTCCGGAGAGTCATGATACCTCTTTCAAATAATATAATATGTACTATCAGATTATATAGGATCTAAATGCTAACCTACATTCTTACAATTTCCATCATGTTACTTTATTACGTGACTGTTGAAAAAAAAATGTGACTGAAAACACTCACCAAAATATATTGTCGCTCCATATCGATTTAACTTTATTGAAACAATACTATAAATTAATAAAGTTCATCCTTTGATATAAATTAACTAAATAACTCACTAAAAAGTAAATCTTTTTATTAGAAACAACTGGCTATCGAAATAGTCCTGTGTATGCAAACGACGTTACATTCTATATTGTCTATGATTTTAATCAAACAAAAAAAAAAATATTAGAAATGTCTAGTGACGTTTCAAAATTTAAATATAGAACTTAACAAAATATAAATAGGCGCAGGTTGCGCGGTGCACGAATGCCTATGGTGGACTGACCAGTTGCGCATGCGCCCTCCGCTTATAATAATTACCGTAATTGTTTGTTTTTTGTTTGTCCATCCGTCTATCTGCCTAAGGCTACAAAGTTGAACATTTTGAAGGCTGCCTTTACATGTGATAATATGTACTTTTGCTCTATTTTTTGTCTGGACGAACGGTAAAACGTAAAGTGTGTTGAACTTACTTGTTATTACTGAAGATTATTCACGTTCACAATGTGAATGGGTTAACACAACTGTGATCAAAGCTCCATGCCCGATCTATAATAACGACCTGACCTGGCTTCTGCCTTTACTGATTCGTATTTTACAATTTAAGGAGGAAGTAAAACACCGATTCTGAAGAAGAGTTATGAGAATATTGCAAGAGATATGTAACGATAGAGAAATTTGGTATTAAGTTCTCTCTTCAACGAAAGACTAAGAAATGCATAGATGCATATATGATAGGTAGATATGCATATTGTTACAATTATTATATTGGCCATCCATTGTCAATTGCTTTACACAGGGGGGAAAGGAATTGTTAGTATTGCGATTTAGCAGACCCATTGCTAGCAATATACCCTAACAGACACCACATGGTTCCTTCTAGAACCATGGTTGATTCTTGAAATCGTCACGATGAGCTAATTGACCTGCTTTCATCCTCACCTGTCATCTCTCACTGGTGCCCTGCCAGCATATACCGACAGCCCAGATGGGGTTACTATTCCATTTTCATCCATTAAGAATTGCTGTACACAAAACGTTCACATAAACTTCCAAAAGACGGTACGAAGCCACATTCATCCAACAAATTTTTGTTAATAAAGCCCTATCCTGGTTCTGTGGTCTGGTGGTGGATGGAATGGTACTCCAGTCAGTTGTCACCAGTGGTAGCACAGTATATAGTCTCTTTTTCACGATAGTAAACACTGCAAATGAATATCAACAAATTACAAGTAGGTATATAATACAGCTCGCTTTGCCATATCTGACGACTGTTATGTTATGCCTCCGTTGTTCCGTACCTAGTAATTTCACTGCCATTACCCACCCTTCAAACCGTAATATAATTATTTAGCTTAATTTTCAGAAATTGCACAGAGGAATTGACATCACAGTATTCTTTTATAATACATAATATGTATATAAGTATAATATAATACTTTGTACAAAAGTCGATTGCTTGAGTACCTCTGTTCCATTCGTGTTTCAACCGTGAAGCAGCTGTGTTTGCATGGCTGTGTTTCGGTTTGAAGGGTGGGATATGGTGTGAATTTACTGGGTACAGAGGAATAACACCTGAGTCCTCAGGAATGGCAACGCATGGGGGGTATCATGGGCGAAACAGTATACTCTGTTACGTTCATGGTACTGCTCATGTCTATAGGCGACGGTTACCACTTTTCATCAGGTGGGCCGTCAGCTTGTTTGCTATTCTAAGTTGTATAAAAAAAGTATATTTTTGGTCACTTTTGGTCAATAATCAACCGATTTTAAAAAGAAGGTGATTCTCAATTTGATTGTAAATTTTTATTTGTTTTTGGTCGTTGAGTAAGTTCTAAACTGATTTGAAAAGTTCTTTTTTTGTCTGAAAAGATATACTTACAGATTGGTTCCTGAGAAATTTTATCAAAATCAGTCCAAAAATTTAATTTCCAGTACACAATAACTTTTTTGTCTCATCTGAAGGTGTTTTTTTTTTTCTGTAAGACACAAACTTTAATTATAATAATACTAATATAATAATATAATACTATAACTCGTAGAATTGTGGTTAATTGTTTTATAATAGTAGGGATGCCATCTCTAAAATTTGGCAACCAGGATAAGACGTGTGAAATCCCCGGATTTTAGAGCTCAGTACCCGGATATATAAACATATTCAGTGCAATAAAAAAAAAGAAATGTCATAAATCACTTCTTTACTTATTTTCAGACCTTAAAATTAAATTTAGTCGTCTTTTATCATAATTTTAAATGCACCTCACAAAACTGAATCTTATTACAGTTTGTTACGAATTAAATTACGCCCCGTCCACCCCTCTAAATTAGGGCAAATCCAGGGAAACCCGGACGACTGGCAACCCTATAATAGTAGCAAAATAGATTACAAATATTAGTAAAAAAAATTACTTAAGTTACTTGTAACAATCAAACAGTGGCAGATGAATAATGAATAAGTGTTTTAAAGTTTTTTTTTTTTAAGGGTTTCTAAATATACAACAGTGTTCACAATTGTAAATAAAAAAAAAAATTACTGAGCGAAACAAAAAATGCAACAAAAAACACGTGTTGTAAATTAATAAACAATACAAAAACCAACGATAATTATATCCCTTATTCGGCATGTAATCAATTAGTCTTGTCAATTAGTTACTAATTAGATAATTTACAATTTTCCACTTTTTTATAAGTTACAACAAAAAATTTGAATTTAGAACTGTGTGTCAAATACAAACAGTTTTTTTTTCTTCTTCTTTTGTGGCGTTAATACAAATAGTTAACATATAATAATAAATAACATATAATCACGTCATATATCAAATTACTCTGTCCTCTAATTATGACGTAACAAACAATACTTTGGATAAGAGACCACTCTAAATTGGACAATTTCCTCTCACCTTGGGACACCTTTATTCATATCATATGAATAAAAGGAGATAAAGACAATATTTATATCTTATAAAGAGTATATTCCTTTTTAAAAGGCCGGCAGCACACCTGCAATGCCGCTGATGTTGTGGGTGATCATGGGCGGCGGTAGTCACTTACCATCAGGTGAGCCGCATGCTCGTTTGCCCCCTGTGTTGTAATTATATATATATATATATATATATATATATATATATATATATATATATATATATATATATATATATATATATATATATAATACAAAATATAAACAATGTATGCTCGTCAACTGAAAAGATAGATACCTAAGCATGATCTATTGAAGAATATGGTTAACATGATTTCTCCCAAAGAACAAAATTGTCCTACCAGCGAGATATACGTCCTATTCCAGTCAAATAAAAGTAAAAAAAAAAAATAGGTAAAAGAAACTTATTTAAAAAATATATTTCTGTCTTCATTATATTACATTCTTCATTGATGAGTTATTAATCTCTCAGATTCCTTTATATGAAATAATAATTTTATTAGGCTTCGTTTGTTATTAAACCTCGTAATATCGAATTCTCCGGTGATGATAATCACACTAAATTAACCAAGTTAATCAGACCGTTCGAGGATTGAGCAGCAGCGTCCCTCTTAAAACATCACCAAAGCCTTAAAAATCTGCTTGCCAAGCGTGTCAACTACTTTCAAAACCCTCATTGTGGGTTCACCTGCCCACTAAACAAAGACATCCCGTCTTTGTTTAGTGGGCAGGTAATGGCTGATGATAATAATCAGATTTGTACTAGTAGTCTTTACTTTTGACTGTTTCCTCTAGATTTACACTCGTAGGCATATTTATCTTATAAAAACTTCACCAAGTCGTCAGTAGATATATACAATAGAAGCACACTTTGGGGGGGAAAGGGATTGCTAGTAATGGAGACTGAGAATCCCATTGCTAGCAATATACCCAACCAGGTCGATCTCCTCGCGGTTCCCCCTGGAAACTATCATGGTTAATTCCTGATGAATTCATCATGATGGGCTAACTGGACTGTTTTCATTCTCATCTATCACCCTTCACTGGTTTTCCGCCAGCGTATCCCGTTAGCGCAGGCGCAGTTACCATACCATTTTCATCCATAAAAAAAAAATAGAAGAACATGTATTATAATATCAAATATGCTAAGTGGATAGTATGAAAAAAAAAATGTGAAATCATAATGTTAACATAATTCGAGGAGCCTACGAACTTCAGCGAGGAGGAAGAGGAAACCCTATTGTTACAAGTGGGAACTGTTTCCATTGTTCGTAACAATATTTCGAAACGGCGTGATTATAATTTTATTCTAATATCGGCATTGGCAAAGAATGAGTTCATACGAGGAAGCTTGATAGTGTTACCAGTAACAAGTACCTACATTCTACTCCTCAAAGAAACGGCTTTAATCGTGATAAAACACATTTATGAACGATGAGTGTTTTGTAGATACATTAGATTAATGATACTTTAGTTTACTATGTACAATCCTGCGACCGACAACCGATGAGGAAGAAGGTTCTCGAGTGACGATCCTGTATGGGCAAACGTAATGTAGGACGACTCCCCACTAGATGGAGCAACGATATCAACATTACAGGAAGTCAGTGGATGCAGGTGGCTCAGGACCGTTCCTTATGGCAGTCTATGTGGAATGCTTATTTTCAACAATGGACAGATAATGGTTGAGATGATGAATCCAGCGTCTATAAAATAATAAAATATAAAATTATATTATACAAACGAATTAAGTACCTTTTGGAAGGTTGGTAATAAACAGGCGTTGTTACGCAAAGAATAACGGCAGCAAGGTTTAATTTACGTGTATTTTAGTCGAGCAAGCTCGACTAGTTTCGAAGCCATCTGGGATCCTTAGTCATGAGCGGCTGTGACGTGAAACATAATGTGTACTTATGAAGATTCTAACAACAAATCATATTTTTGTGTGGAATACATTGGTAAAAACTATATTTCTCTATACCTCTTTATCGTGTCGTGCAAAAAGTGAATAGCCAACACGAGCTGTGGCCGAAAACAGTTGCGCGACGAACCGTATCCGACACGTCATTATGTGCTTTGATAATCAACGAACCGTGCCCTCAGCTCAGCTATCAATTAAATATTAGTAAGACGCGTAAAGCACACACATTATATTGTGTGTTACAACATTTTTGTATTGTTCCTTTTATCTGATAATAGAATCTTATTAGATTTTAGTAGGGCTAATGTATTTAAGTTGTATAACGTCCAAGGTCCATGTAAATAGCAGTGTCAGAGCGACTAAAAGGAGTCATTGTATTCGTTGAATGAGTACGTAAGTACCACTCGTGTTTTT